ACTATGAAAGCATTCTTTTATAGTGAACCGTATCACATACAGCTTTCAGTCACTTATGAGAACAAAGGCTCGTTCAGGCCCATTGGAACAATTTTTTGATTATTTAACCTCGCATATTTCCCAAACGTTTTTCTTTTTAATTAGTTTTAAATTTACAGTTAACAACTGAAAACAAAAGAAATATTTGTATTGTATTTGCGAAGAAGTGAAGACAAGGAAGGTCCCGTATCTTGGACAGAACGGATATAATCGACTTAAAATTTGGAGCAGGGTCTGCTGATAGCATTTCAGGACAGCAAACACAGTATCACATTTGACAATACAAGCAATTCATTAGATATTAACCGTTTCTCAACGCATCCCTGTTACAAATGTTTTCCTCGATTCGATCCATCTTTACGTCTGTGTCAACCGGTGTCGAGAGCCCCGAAGTAATCTGCCAGCTTCGGCCTGACCGATTAAAAATATTGAAGGAAACTTGGTATTTTGGGAACTTTCAACTACCACCAAGAAAACGAATGGATCTTAAATGACTGCCGCAAAGTGCTTTATCCTCTTTCCCAATCACCTGACATGAATACCCGCAAAAATATGTGAGATGAATTGAAATTATACATAATATGTCAAATGATGTTTAAAAGGTGTTGCTAAGCACTAGGGACGCACCCCCACCAAATATTAATGCTTAATAATATTCTGTTTTTTCTTCGTATTCTTCCTTACATGAAAACAAAACAAAAAAACAACAACAACGTATTATATTTTAATACATATTCCCTAATAGTAGAAAGCATTGAAATAAAATTTTATGTGTGGACGATGGACTAAGGTTTAACAAGCGTCAATATTTTGTCGGGCGAAAAAATTTAATATCAATGAGACTCACTGTACGTTAATTTTTGTTATTTAAAATTTATTCCTTATTTATAAAATGAATCTTAAAAAGAGGATATCATGCATTATATAATTCACTATAATTTTGATTTTGGTAAAATGCTGCCATTAGTTTATAAATATTTACAGGAAATGTGTTTCAAAAAAAAAAAAAAAAGAAAAAACTTAATTCAAAAGACTAGAACTTATTTAACTAATTTCCTACATAGATATTCTTAATTACACATTCGAACATATAGCACATATGTTATATACAATTACGAACTAGAGAGTAACATTATGTTTTTAGCACCAGCTATAGTAAACTTAGGGATGTGAAACTCATGAAAATTTATGGGCGTGCTTTTGCTCTGCATGTTAACTATAATTCATTATTATTGTCTTAATCTTTCCAATTATGGAATGTATTAGAAATAATTTATAAAGGGAAATACATTTCACACAACCGTTATCAAGCAACTTGAACTGTGCTTGTTTAGTAGGGACATTCGTGAGAAAGATTTTCGGCATATCTCGCAAGCGTATTTTTTATTTTCAATATGCGTTTGCTGATGCGCTCTAAGATTGGATCGATCGGCGAATGATCGCGGACACACAGAACACTCAAATGGTTTCTCTCCAGTATGCGTGCGTAAGTGTCCTTTCAAAAGCCATGAGCGTGAAAATGCTTTACCACATTTTTGACACTTGTGAGGTTTTGTATGCGTGCTTATGTGCATCTTTAAGGCACCCATAGTTCGATAGGTTTTACCGCAGTCTTGACAACAATACTGTTTCTTCTCCCGTTGGCATTCACTGCCAGGACAATGGAATTGTTGATGTTTTGTTAAGCCAATCGATGTAGAAAACATTTTATTGCATTTGTCACAATTGAAGCGAAAAGTTTTATCGGCACAGTAACTGTCACTATTTGTGCTAAGCAGGGAATCACGCGATGACACTGATCGAGAGGGCGTATGCTCCTCAAAAGTGCTAGTGTTGGTTGAATGGAACAAAATTAGCCAAGGAATGTTACTATGCATTGAAAGATCTTCTGGCGTGGAGTTCTCTGTTATTGTTGGACTTGCTGGCGGTGTGCATTGTTGCTGTGACGAATCCGCTGAAGAATCTGGTGATGGGAAAATTTCACTTAGTTTCGGATGATATGTTTGCCATAAGGAACTCGTCGGATTGCAACCGGCAGCTGAAGCAAAGGCTTCCTGATAAGACTTATAATGTTTGGTGTGAACCGTCAATTCGCTCGTGTAAATCTCGCCCGATGAATGATGATATTCGATAGAATTACTTGCATCATTATGCGGTGATAATAGCACGGAACTGTTAGCTAAATTTATCGCTGTAGATTCTGGACGGGGTTTTCGTAAACTGAAAATACATTCTCGCTTAGCCGGCATTCGATAATTTTCGATATTATCATAGGGTTTTTTTTTTCTTTTTATTGATAGATCTTGCGGTTGATCACAGTCAAAGGGTAATTTAACTAAAGCCAAAGCCTCAGTTTGTTCATTATCTGGCTTTTCTGGCTCTTGAGGATAAATGATGGGTCGTTTTTTTAATGGACAACTTTTGTAATGGGTTCCCATTTTTTTGTTTTCTTCTTTTCAGTTTAATATAAAACAACTCAAAGATTTAAAAACTAAAACAAAAAACTTGCATAACTTTGTACGAATAAATTTTGAAGTAAGTTTTTCTTATTTGAGATCGTTAACACCGATGTTCACTCTAAAAGTGTTTAGTTTATTATGACAGGTTAGCTCTCGGCACGACATTTTTATAGGAAACAAGGCAGCACTACGCGGTGGTAGATTTTCGATTCCTCTTTCTCATAAACTCTTAGGTAAGCACATAAAATTCATAGCATAATAATAGTTCTGTAGCCTCTCCTTAATATTTTCAAACTATCTCTTTTTCTCTCCGGGTATTTTTGTTCTTTTCTTTTTGTCTTAGAGTGGTTGTTTTTCCCTTTCATTAAACGTGGGGAGGAAATGTGTTAAACTACCTGAACGATGTTGACCAACATATACTCAAAGTATGGAAGATTTGAATGCATTTTCAAATACTCTTTACCGAGATATTAACAGAACAGAAGTTAGTTTCTTACATTCGGTTACATATGTTGAGTAATAGCGGATAAGAAATTTATCTACAACTTAACACGAATCTTAGACACCCATCATCATCGTTAATGAATTTTTACTTTATTGATTTTAAAGAAGATAAGTTTGTTTTCACATTTCTTCTTACGTTTACCGCGGTCAAGCCACGTGCTCAAAAAGTTTAAATTCTCCTTGGAAGTTAGTCTATAAGTACACTTAAAATTCTATTCGAAAAACCGGGACAGTCAGTCATGAATTTGGTTGCACCTTACGCGAATTACGAATATGGATAACTTATTACTTATTATTATTATTGTTGTTATTATTTTTTAAACGTTCATAGAAAAAAAGAATTACGAAGAATCTAAATACCGCATTTGCAAAATCGATTAACTTCGAATTCTCAATTTCCGAATAACATCACTTGTTTGATTCGTAAATCACACATTGAAACCAACTTCTCTAGTAGTAAATCTGAACAACACTAAACAACAAAATTTGTTTAATTAATTGAAAAAAAAGGTAACCTAATCGTAATAAAAATGTCTTTAGAACACTTTTTAACAAAGCAATTAAAAGTTTAATACGCATAAAAACCGTTTGCTTTCACTATATATTATAATATATATGATATAATATATGTATAATATATTATATATAATATAATATTATAATAATATAATGTGCAAAAATAAACACTTTTATCACCTTTTTCTACTTTTCATTCTATGAAGTAAATCGTTTCGGGAAGTTAGCTATGCACTTATCTTAACATCCAGCTTATTACTGCCTCCTTCAGAACAGTTGTTCCTCGTAATGTAAGTAAATTTCATATCAGTAATTTCTAAGACTCAGAATGAATATATTTTGAATGAATATATTTTCATACATATTTCTGGTTTTCGGCTGTTTTAGTTGGTTGACTTTGTGCTCGCTTAATGTTCGCTTTGAACTTAAAAGCTGTTATGCGCCTTTCAGCTCAGCTGACTAAATATTTAGTAATTTTTTTTTGTACATGATCACTCAATCAGGAGATGTCTTCAGTACCTCCGCAGGCAAGGCGGTAATAAAGCTTAAAAGTGGTGGGAGATCAGAAAAGGGACTAGCGTTCGAGTAAGTTAAATTTAAAAGTAGAAATATCAGGCACGGTGAGGAAGATCTCTACTGATAGGTCGTTCCGAAAGCGAGCAGCAGTTAAAGAATGTCGGGACGAGCCACAGTCGTATGTCCTGCCATGTAAAGACACTTCCAAGAAGAATGGGGAAAAACGCTGAAAAAACTCTGTAGAGCTGTTAAAGAGCTTGTATAGTAGACAAATTGCTTTCATTTCTGTAGAACTCTTGCTTGTGTACTTCTACATAATTGAAAATGCGATGAACAAACGCTCAAACTGAATACAACAACTAATAATTCTCCGATAATTAAAATTATTTTATATTTGGTTAAAGGCTTCGATTTTATTCATCATGTGTTACAAACGAAACGATGAAGCTAGCAAACCTTATATTTCAATTGTTGATCCTCAGACGCGCGGTGTAAAGAAAGCTTTCAAATAAATTTTATTTATTTTTGTTTTTTTTCTCTCTTTAATTTTTCTTCCCCTAGAATATGTTATTTACATTCTCCGCCTAGATGATAGATTGAGTCTACAACAATTTTTCTCTTAGAACGATGGCACATGCTACCACTATTCATCATGAACGATTTTCTACTGTCAGTGGGACAGGTACAACAGACATTGCCAACAGGCAGACATTGATTCTCTTTCTCGCTCTTCCATTATCGGATTTTTGTTTTTCTTTTCCTCAAAGTGTAATGATTTGTTTTCTATTTTCGATAGTTGAACGAATACTCTACACCGGAATTTCTCGGCTTTAGCCAGATGTCTAGCATAATTACACAAAACAAAAAAAAAAAAAAATACAATTATGGAAAATTCTTTCAGTGCTTTAAATAGAAAAAGGGGACGATATAATTTAAATCTCGTATTCGAGTTTATTAGGTTTCAACCAAGTCTTCAGTTTTACGCATAAATTGAAATAAATACTATGTTAGCCAATTTAGAATAGGTACGCTGTTAGTTGCTCTGATAGTGCATGCATTTGTTTCTTTGCATATAAATATGCTATCTATTCCAAAGCATATGCACTCAGTTTACGTTTCTGGTTAAATTTCATTAAGAAAGTCCCTTAGGGATAGTATGTTGCGCCTCAACGGTTCGACGTTAGCTAATTGTAATCTCTTTCTCTCTTTCTCTTGCTTATATAGTGAGATACCAGGGATGCTCCCAATCATAGAAATTATGTTAGGTGTCAATTATAACTCAGAGCTAAAGACAACTGTTTTAGGGAAGATAGTATTGTGTTTAGTATTGAAGCAATGGCGATTAAATGCGATCAATTTTAATAGAATACTTAAAGTTTTGAGTTTTAGGAGATTACCATGAGATCGTTAATTGAAACACAATTTTTTATGAAAAAATATTTTTAAAATCACACTTTCGCTTTTTTTTCACCATGTTAAATATATCTACGGAAATAACAACAGAGGATAGATCTGTCATTCTATCTTTAGCATTTGGAAAGCTGTAAAATCTACACATCAACTTTAAATCGATTTAGCCTTACAACTGAGGATGAGTCTGCTCATCCTCATCTTGTCTCTTATTGCTTGTACTGCAGGCAAGAACGCAAAAGAACGGATGTTTCTGCTGCGTTTATCATTCCCCTTAAGGCTCCTGCAAGTAATATCAAAAACTTTAAAAACTGATGGAAGGACCGGTTTATAGTTATCGACATTGTACACTCCCTACTCATTACAGGGAGCCCATAATCGACCGCTATCGAGTTTACCCGATATTGAGAACCATAAACCGGCATCCGCTTCAAATTCGAATTCAATATATTCAACCGTTTGCAAAGGCAGTATTGAAATATGACATAAGAATGAATCGCCTAACAAGCGATTTTATATCAAAATTGCAATGCTCTCGGTATCCATTCTTACCTTTCCTTAAGCCGCGTGTGAACTGCTACGGCGTGCACGGGTTTATTCGCTACTTATTATTGACAATAATATATATTAGATAGGTCGGAAATTTGTTGCGGTTTTTCATTATGAAATAACATCATTTTTATTATATTAGGAATAAAGTTTATTAAATTATAAATTTGCTACTTCGTTCAATAAAAAGCTGTCACTCTTTGCAGGCAGATTCCTTTGTCCCTCCTCATAAAAGAGGATCTATTTCTCATTATGAGCTGTAATTCCTTTCAGAAATGGATTGTTTTGATTTCATTTTAACAGCACGCGCAGTAATGCGTTGTATCAAAAAAAATTTCTTTTAAATCATGTGAAATCATTAACAGTTGTTTTGGGTGAAGTAAGTTTTCCTGTCAGTCATAATCTTTAGTTGGCCGTCGTCAATGATATTTGATCTACCCCAAAAGCGGTGAAGCTTTCCCTGAAAAATTTCCAAAACGAAATTTCGCAAACAAATCTTGGCAATTGTCCTCTACTACTAGTATCAGCATTAGTTCCATACACAGCACATATTTCTCTATGGGCTTCTACAACTATCTTTTTTAAAATGAAATCATAAAATATGTCTCATATACTAATCTTGATCTTCCATTTTAAAAGTCACGTCTCACTACTATAACACAACCGATCACTTTGAAAGTTTGTTATAAAATGAACATAAAGGTCCTCTACGTAATCCTATGTGCCTGTAACACTTATTATCTGTCTAGCTTTGTACAACAAATTATCTTAACCTGACGTCGGAAAAATCGCAAAAAATATCCGGACTACCTAATATATACCTGTCTGCTCTGGAAGTTGAATACTTAAATTACGCATTTAGTTATAGAGAAGATTATGGATCAAGTATACCAGAAAGTTCAAGTAAACAGTTTTCAGGCTCAAAGTACTAATAAGTGAATTAACACGACCACTGACTTGGGAATCGCGAGTCTTAACCCCTCGACTATGCGGTAAGCGGTTTTTAAAAATATCAAGAACTTTAATTGATAAAATTTCTTTTACTTCCATTTCTAAACCGTGCGGGTATTCAACAAAATTATTTCATAAGAAGTTTTTTTTTATTTTTTTTTTTTAATAAAGTGAGATACAAAATATTATGAAGCGACTAACGCTTAAATAAGAAATTTGCGTAAATATTCGAACTATGCTAAATAGGTAGCTGTGTTAAGAAAATTACATTTGTCGGAAAATTTCCCGTTTTGTAAATACCGCTAATAAATCACGGCTTTCCCAAAGGACTGTAAGTAATAGAAAAATAATTACTTTCCGTATTAGCGAAATTTTTATAAATTTTGTAAAATTACAAATGTAACATGCGGCATTTCCCACAGTTAACACTTTAAGAAATATAAAATCGATATACGTAAAAATATAAGATGTACCTGTAGGTTTTTCTTAGGCTAGCGTAATTAGGAAGCGATTGTGTATTGCGTAATCGATTA